TAGAGATGGGCAGAGGGTTTAAACCCAATGGACGGAAACGGGTTTATACCGGGTTTTTGGGTTTGAAGCGGGTTTAAACCCGAGTAAAAACCCAAACAGTGGGTCTAAATTACTTTCACTAATATCTTGGACCGTGGTTATAACACAATTTAGGTATGTATTTATAACACCTATGTTAACAAATAAATAAATGATAATATTTATGATTAGGTACTTCTAGTGTTTTTTGGAGTATAAATATCACTAATAGTGGTACAATCAACAGTAGGTACATGAAGTTTCACAACTTACTCTTCGAACATGAGATTTTAACAGTTATATTATAATTTATGCAAGTATTTCACCACAGCTTAATAGCATGACCTTGCAGATTTCAAATAGGTAATAGCCACAGTATTTACTTTTAAATAAAACAAATGGGTAAGTGATTGTATTTTTTATAAAATTAAACAAATAACACAATCAATATTTACAATCATTTAGAGTCAGTGTCATACCCAGAATTATCATTATCAGGTGATCAATTTACAATCATTCAGAGTCAATGTCAGTCCCAGAATTATCACTATCAGATTGTCCACAATCAACGAATACCAACTCATTTGATGTCGTTGCTTCCGATTGAGATGGGGCGAATACTTCGTCCTCAATAGCATTTGTATCGGTTTGCGGTGAACTTTCATGTGGTGTTGGAGTTTCTTCACTAATCTGATCATCATTTAAACTTTCATTTACCGTCTTTCTGTGTAAAATGTTCCAGTTGTATGATACAAAAGTTATTTTGGCGGCTCTTTCCGCAGTAAGACGATTCCGTTTTATGCTGTGGACGTTTGCTTGAGCGCTAAATGTGCGTTCCGTTGCTGCAGACGTACATGGTGCCGTAAGAATCCTCAAAGCCACTTTGCTCAGCTGTGTCGAGCTACATATACCTTTCCACCACACAACTGGTTCAATATCTCCCAGAGATCGCCAAACAAATTGTTTGCCCCAGAAACATTCTTTTGCTTTATAATTAGCGAGATCGGGTGTTACATCTAAATTCAGCCTTTGCCCTTCATTGTATATGAACTCCATGGCTAGAAGTTCTTGCTCTTGGTTGAGCTCTAAACCTTGCTCTCTAGGGTCAAGCATGTATGCTGCCATGTGTATAGGTTTTACACACATACTTGCCCTTAAATCCACTGATACTAAAATTTCAAACTTCTCCTCCTCACTCAACATTGTTATAGATGGAAGCACAAATTCTAATTTCGATTTAATATTTTTAAATATTATAAATACTTTGCTTATGCAGTGATCATTTCCCTCTAATTCAAATATACATTCTGTTATAGGTTCTATAACTTTGATAGATTCTTCCGTTTTGTTCCAAAACTCTTCCTCCAGCAGCATTCTTTTTAAATCTCGGGGGATATTCACGGTTTCATCTACTGCCAAGCTTTGCAGAGCAGCTTTATTCTTTTTCAAACTTTTTAAAGCTGTCACTGTACTTCCCCAGCGGGTTTTAACGGGTAGTTTCAATTTTTCTCCACAACCCTTGATTTTTATAATTTTTGAAAGTTGAGCGCTTAGAATTTGGCTTTTTTTAATTATTTTTATCACATTCACAGCCTCATCTATAAAGTTTTTCATGGTTTCTGATTTTGAACAGTCTTGACTTAATAAATTTAGTACATGAGCACAACAACCGAGTGGAGTAATATGTGGATATTTATTTTTAACTATTTCGAATGCTTTTTGCATATTTTTAGCATTATCCCCTATGAGGACTACAAACTTATTTACACCATACGTTTTCATCACATTTTCTATTTCACTTGCAATATATTGGCTGGTGTGGCGATTAGTTTCTGTATTCAAACTTTTTATGAATACTGGTTGAGGCTTTGATATGACAAAATTTATTATACCTTCAACACGTAAATTACTCCAACCGTCACATTGGAGGTGAAGATAACTTGCAGATTGTAACTCTTCGCTCAACTCTGTTCGCATCTCATTATAAATTTGATCCAAATATTTAGTAGCGAGTGCTTTTCGTGATGGCATCTTAAATTGCAGTTTCTTAAAAAAGTTAATCCAAAGAGGATGCTCTACCATAGATAAAGGAGTGGCTGTTACAAAAATTGCCTTAGAAAACTCTACAGCAAGGTCACTCTCTGTAATGCGTGTGCTGTGTCTTTCGTCTTCCTGTAAAATACTCGTACTTGTACTTGCTGTAGGTGTTGGCAAATCGGTAGTATTACTCGTACTACTACCTTCTTGTACTTCCTGAAAGTTATGCGACGTACCAGTCCTGCCTTTCTTTTCCAAATGCAGTGTTTTCATTTGTTTTTTTAAAACGGGTGGACTCTTGAAACAAGCAATGAGATGTTGAGTCATTTTGGCAATGTTGCTGTATCGGTATACTTTATCACAGAACTTACATTTAACCGATTTATTACCTAACTCGTGATAATGTCGCCATACACGCTGGTCTTTCGGCCGACCCATTTGAACTAAAACAAACATAAGTAGGTAATTAAATAATAGTTAGTTTCGAGTTTACGACATTATTAGTTCTACGCAATATTTTCTTACGCAAATACTTCAGTACACTTACCTTGTATCGTCTAAACACTAGTGAAAATATATATAAGAACTGCTTACTTGCAGTAATTAAATATTTTGAATTACGATCTCACGGATTACAAACACTTCTATTCCACAATTCACTTCATTTCACAAGCAAGGGAAGACTTCGACTGAGCCGGAATCGACCGAGAACAAAGGCGTTGCTGGAGTGCGGTGCGCGGGCGGCGCGGCCTTTATCGCTTGATAGAAAGAGAGCATACACGAGCGACATAAGTGCGACAAAGAGCGGCATATTTCTTTCTCTAACTCGTCGTCTACCTGCCGCGCCATTTGTTTAATTTGAAGAAAATTTATCAAAAAAGATGATTTAAAAACGACAACTATGGTAAATACTACTAAAATATTCACAATAATTTACGTTTACCACGTTTAAATTGATAAATTTCACCAAACCAATAAACTCCCGAATAAAAACCCCGTGGGAGGGAATAAATGGGTTTTTATTGGGTTTAAACCCAGTAAACGGGTTAAAACCCGGTTGATTGCCCATCTCTACTTGTCATATTTGAGCCATAACTGTGTATGGAATGTACGTGGAATTGTTAACCCGATGTCGAGTAATGGCGTGCCGGTACCCTAACATGTACAGTATTTGTATGTCGTATGTGTACCTTAAATGCATGTTCTCATCCATGTCTTCGTTAATTACCTATCAATGTCAGTTAAAAAAAAGAAAAAAGATAACGCATGAAACTGCTTTTGTTTTTGCTGCGTCGCAGTTTTGTTTTTATGTTGCTTTGAATTATTTTTGTTTTTTGTTCTCCCCCATCTCATCCCATCACCTACATTTGCCGGCTGTCCGATATTGTCACCCCCCATATCCCCCTCACCCCCCTTGCATTGTAACGCTGCACTCCTCCTTGACACCCGCCCGTTCCCCGTCTGCCGCGGACAGCTCCCGGGACGAGTTCGACGCCAGCCACGCCGTCTAGTTCCGGTAAGGTGAAGTCGCGGTCGCGAAGCAAGTCGCCGTTCAGGAGTTTCCGATGGCGTACGGCGAAGAAACTGCTCGCCGGATCTCATCATAGCGACGATGAAGGTATCCGTGGTAGGAACGGTTATGGATGGACAAGTTTTATTACTATGCAGATAAACACATATCAAATATTTATAGTGTGAAGTGAATTTCGTAGATGGAACGATATGGATGGCTTTTTAAGTTTATATTTGACGTTATAGATATAATACTTAATTATCCACTTTTTCACAGTAGAGCACACCACCTAAACAAATTACAATAGCACTGTATTTTGATATCACAGTAGGTAAATGATTAAGTTTGTCCATCCACCACCGTTGACCGCTATCAACATGATCACATGTGTTTACGCGATGATGCTTTGTTTGTGCTGCAGTGTGTTACGCGCATGTGTCCCGTGTGCCCAATAAAACGACTTTTATGCGTGGCTTTCATTCTAAATTGTTAGGGTTCGGACATGACGCCTGCGTATCAAACCTATCACCCTTTAGATTTATGACATAGGTGCGACATATAGATGTTAGATGTAAGCGCTCGTCAGAACTTAGTGTGCTTTTAAATGAATTATTTCATGAAATTACAGAGTCGGTGTAATTATACATTACTTGCCACTTTCTGTTTGGAATGAATTTAGCTTGACAAAATACAGGCTAAGTTATGTCTATTTACCTCGACTTAATGTTACTTGTGCCTTAAGAGCTCTATAAAGAGTGTTTAAGTTGCGAAGTGACCAGATCTGATGTATTTGTGTGAACGTGTGTACGAAGTGTGTGTTGTATACAGAGGGCGCTAGTCCCGCGAGTGAGGACGAGGGCGTAGAGGGAACATTGGTGCGCAAACACGAGTGGGAGTCCGCCGCCAAACGGGCTTCCAACAGGTGAGATATCAATTGATCATCAATTAAATACTAAACTTCTTCAAATTGTTAAACATTTAAATAAGTATTAAAGACTATTGCAAAATAGTTTACAATCGGAATATAAACGGAGAGACTGTATATCTGTTCAGCAATGGAAATCGTCATTATAATTTATGTTCGTAATCCATATTCGCAGATCATGGGACAAAGTGTACGTGGTGGCGAAGGACGGCCGCATGGCGTTCTACAAGGACCAGAAGGCGTACAAGGCGGCACCTGAAGCGCACTGGCGCGGCGAGGCACCGCTCGACCTCAACGGCGCCGTCGTAGAGGTCGCCGCCAACTACACTAAGAAGAAGCATGTGTTCCGTCTTAGGTAGGACTTTTGACTTTATATTATACTGATTAGAATGTGGAAATAGTTTCAATAAGGACTATTTTAAGAGCTTTTTGATGTTTTGAAAGTGCTATAGTTTTACTAGAAACTCTGGCAAACTTTGTATCAATCCCGTTACATGGGTTGATGTATGTTGTATTATTTGGTTGGCACTAACCCGCGACGGCCGCGCAGACTGGGCAGCGGCGCGGAGTTCCTGCTGCAGGCGCACGACGAGGCGGAGATGTCGTGGTGGCTGGAGGCGCTGCGCGCGCGCACGGCCGCGCCCGCGCCGCGCTCGCACACGCTGCCCGCGCCGCACAACGCCGAGCCCAAGCGACGCTCCTTCTTCACGCTCAAGAAAAAGTCAGTCACTCTCCTCTCCCAACTATACGCACCCTAACGGCACACGTTCGTACCTCGCCCTACTACAGCACTGGGCTTGCGGAGTATGGAACTGTCTGTCCGCTTATGCCAGGCCTCTACCGTATCGCATTATAGCTTTGCAGGGCCTGCAAAGCTGTCTATACATCTTTAGTGCAGTTTCCTATTAGAACAAAATATCCGTAGAATTGTTATTAGGATTGGTGTAGTCCCAATTCCAAGTAATTATATCTCAATTATTTTACAACTGATTCAAAGTACTTAATACAATTATAAGAAGTAATTTTTCTTGATTAGGCTGCTCTCCACAAATCTCGCGGGGGCTGCAATAACTACTATCTGCTTCTTATATTCTCCATAGAGCTGCTAGCGTATAGCACGCGGCACGTGGGTATATCAACCTTGGGTGATTTGGGAACAATCGTGTTTGGGCCCCATACTTGTGTTTCATAATGTTCCATTAAAAACCCATTTCTCTACCACGGGCTTCGTCAATGTCAATTTTGACATTTTTCTTTCATAGATCTTATTTCCGATGTCTCTAAAGACTACTTTTGTATAAACAAATTTTGTGGATTTTTCGTACGATATATCAGTGATCCCACAAACTTCATGCCCGTTAATCGTGAGCGCAAAGAAATGATTACTTTTGAAATAATGATAATAATAGATTTTTCAAGTTAATCTTCTTCGGTGTAGGAAAACATGTAGTAGTAAATGATACCGCTGTGTCCACTAGGCGCACCACTACTAACTATAAATGTACTAACTTTTACATTGTTATTTGAACTAATTTCAATCTCTTATTATGTTGCTACAGCCTTAATCTTTAACGCTTTCTGCTTTATTGTGTCACATGTGAGTCGAGGAGCGAGTTGTAATGATGTCGCGATGTTCCAGCTAACCAGTTGAGGAGCGTGGCGAGGCGGCGCAAGTTTCCTCAGTACGCGGCGGCGCCCGGTGTCTGGGCGCCGCGCATTTCTCACGACGCTTGCAGCTGTAAGCTTTGCTAATGACGAAATATGTCGACTCGCGGCACTATCCACCGTCGACCGTTCAATGTTATTATTATTAATATTATTTTTTGTTGCGTACGAAACGTTATTTGAGACTGTTCGGTATCTGAGTGTTCGATCGTTCGCCCTCGTAAACCGTATTTATTGTTCGATATTCGTATCGAAGATTGAAGATATTATAGTAGATTTTATCCAGGTATGTACGATCCCACCCCTCGAAAGTGTAATTGTTATGATATGAAACGATTATGATTAAATGAAATAAATACATATTATTATTATAAAATTCTAAATGCGTCGCTATTTATACATAGATGATTTTAGTGTTTAAATTCAGATTGAGAATATATATATTTTAATTATTTATATTTAAAAGATATGAAGCTAGTGTAATGTAAATTCAGTTGAACTAGAAATGTATGTCGTGCGATTTATTAAAGATTCAATTAAAATGATTAAAAAAGTTTTAAACTATTATTGACCAATGTAAAACCAATTGACGGAATTTGACTATCGCATTTGATAATGTTTAACTTAGCTAAGACGGATGATTGTAACCGCATTTACATTCAATAGACGATTTCCCAGTGGATTGACGTTATTATACTAATAAATTACATCGTGAGCTTTGCTTCGTCGGAGCATCGCGCGATAACATAACGTAAGCTACGTACATAAATTGTATTAGATGTAATTTGATTATAAAGTGTCTTCTCCCGGCGCGGGGTCGCCGCGGTCCGCCAGCTGAAGCCGCATTTAATAATAATTATCAGATTTCTTGTTAGTCGGCCGTTGCTAGAGGCGGCCGAGTAGACGATAGTATAGTACAGCGTAGCGCGGCGGGCGGCGGCGGCGCGCGCCACTAGTATCCAACTTGTAAGTATGCTTGATCGCCTCATAAGTGCTTCTATAAAATGACGTATTTCTATTAAACATTCATTTTGTAATAATTATTTTTACTGCCAATTTTCACAAATTGTTAATTTTTATAAGTAATATAACAAAATTTCACATTTCATAATATTACGTACACACATTTTTAGTTCTAATCGTGTTATGGTTATTGTATATTTGGCGAGTGTGGCGGTGGCGATGCTGTGTGTCGCCCTCTACTGCCACACTGATCACTGCATGTTTCGTAAACCTATGTTTATACTTATTTTATTTTAAAGAACTTCTTTATTGATGAGAATATAAAATAAATGATGTTTTCAAATACTTCGTTCGTTTTATTTATTTACAATCATCTATATAGGTCCCTAAGATTCAGTATTAATTAAATAAATACAAAAAGGTACGATATGTAACATTACGAAGAGAAGTAAGATAAAGCATTCGAAATTTCAAAGACGGAAGTTTAAAGAGGTGAGACTAGGTCACAGCATTCCCAGTACATTTATCTCTTATCAAGATAAAATACAGGGAAATTGATATCGACTATCAAATTGTCCATACACTTAACATTCGTCACAGAACTGAGATAAAATAGCATTTCTCACATAGAACGCTTACAAAAATTGTTAAATAAATTAAATAATGTTACAAATATTGTGCCTATGGTCTATGTTCGTATGGAGTGTTGGTGCTAGTGTGTGTGAAGGAGAACTTTGTTCCCGAAATGTGGCTCCTAGAATCGCGGGCGGAGACAGATCTGAACAAAATGGGCGACCTTTCATGGTAAGTTCTAAGGAATATCACAATATTCTTCTACATCTTAGTCGTCTGCTAGGATCTTTCAAGGAAATGTAAGGAATATACTTATATAAACAATACAAAGCAAGTCTATCGATTTTAGATCCATAGTACAGTTTTGGGCTTCCAGTCGTTCCTTTATAACGACTACCAAAGTCATTAATCACTACCACCCGGTCCCTGAACCAGCAAACGTTTTTATGGGTATTCTCCCAAAAGGGATGATGAATGGTGAAAATTAAGTTATTTGTTTGCTAGGACCTCTAGATTTAGTTTCACTGTAACCTTTCCAGGTGGCCTTATACTCGCGGGTGGGCACTACAGGAGACCTAGGATTTTGTGGCGGAGCTCTCGTGAGCCCTGAATGGGTGATTACTGCAGCACACTGCTGTTTCCATAACGGAGAAGAAGTTAATCACGTACAGGTATGAATGTACCTAGGTACATTACCTTTAATGAGATCAAAAACCCAATAATAACTTTAGAAATACATTGTATACAAACTGAAAGAAATCCGAAACTACCTGTATTTTATGAAATAAGGTAACTGATAAATGCGGCATCCAGTCTTCCATTGTGAGATTTAATAAATAATGAACATTTCTATTAACGATTTGCTAGCTAGTAAATAAAAATATGTAGGTACCAGTGTCAAAAACATATTTCCCCAGGCTATTCTCGGCGCCCATTCTTTGTATGACCGCTATGAGCACGGCCGACGCGTGGTGAACGTAGCCGAGCTGGTGATCCACCCGGATTACGATCCTGACACCTTCGCTAACGACATTGCATTGCTAAGACTAGCCAACACTATTCAGCTGTCTGGTAAGTTTCGATTAAATACCTCATTTTACGACGACGTTTATGGGGTCCAAATTTACTATAAGAACCTTCTAACTCTTAGGAACAAAATTAAAACTCAGAAAATAATTCAATGTTGTGTTTATAAAAGTATTTAGTTCGTTTGATCATGAGATAAAAACTGCATTAGCGAGCCATCACTTCGAAAGACGCTACAATGACAATATCCCGAAACATGAAGAAGAAATATAGAATTGATTAAAACTTATAGAGTATATATAGAGATAATTAGTCTTATTTAATACTTTAGATATGATATCTACGATCCAGCTGCCGTACCGCAACATATCAACGTTCAACTTCGCAGGGGCTGGGGCTACCGTGTCCGGTTGGGGCATAGCCGCTGAGGGTTTGTAAGATTGTTCTTAAATCTACTTACTTTGGCACATATAGTCCGACAGATACCATAGGCTTACAGAAAAACGGCGTGAAACAACCCTTACGTTGTGTTTTGCCATGTGACTGGTGTTACCAAAGGCCTACTACCCCTCGTCGTTGCTTATCATCTGGTGATCCGTAAGGTAAATCAGATCAAAATGAAAGACCAGGGGGCTTACTCTTGAATCCAATTTCGATCGACATTGGTATTGTAAAATTTCGTACTCTTGAGTTGCAACACTGGCGCCCATTGCATCCGTTTTGCGTGGATATTAAATGAACTAAATGGTATTGAGTTTGGTTTATATTACGTACTCTGAATGCTATTTTAACAGCTACGATAAGGGTTGTATAGTTTTGACACTGAATAATTATTGAGATTTTATTGGATTGAAATTGCATTGAGATTGGTTTCAAGAGTAAGCACCATGATCTAAGCTTATGAAGTTTGGGAGCACCGTAATAGGTGACTCTATAGTTTTAGCCTATACCTGAATGACTAAATTTACCGTGACCGTGAGTGTTTAGTTTGTGTTGTGTAGAGTTAATGTGTTATATTCCACAGGAGTGACCTTCATATCGCCGACGCTTCGTGAGAAGAGGATGACAGTGTTAACGGACACTTTCTGCAACACCACGTACTTCAACCAGTTGCCTGATAGTACTATATGCTCCTTCCATGGCGTTGCCGGTACTTGTAAGGTGAGGACCAAAGAACATTGGAAGCGAAACTCGTTTATTTTTTATAATGGCAAAAAATTTTTATAGACTTTCAACTTTATTACAACGCGATAACGTTGACAGTGAACTAAACTGTCAACGATATTGTGTAAATAATAATGAAAATGTTAAATGAAAAATGTAATACTATCATAATTGAGAATCAGGCACCTACTTTGGGGTTTTCCTATCTACAAAATAATAAGAAAGTTCAAGATTATTATCGTTATTTTTAAAATCGTGTAAATATTAAATTAATTTGAGTGTAGATAAAAATCTACAAGTGTTACTTGTCATAATACTATCTACCCATAATCCATCGGCATGGAGAACTGAAAACGAATGATTTTACAATTTTTTTGATAAGTCCACTCGGAGCACCTCTGTAGTAACAGACGACCTTACTAAGAGTTGGAAAAAAAACGCCTACCTACATACAATTGCCCAATTGCTTTCTAGTTATCAATGGGGATAATGAGTTAATACCAACTGAAAAATGAGTAGGAATGTGCAGTCTATCCTACTGTTTCTTAGCCGACTTCAAAAAGAAAAAAGAGGATGTTCTCAGTTCGACCTGTGTATATGTGTATGTGTGTGTGTATGTATGTATGTATGTATGTTTGTGCGCGTTTATCTCGCGATTGGCTGGACCAATTTCGATGCGGTTTTCAGAAAAGTGTTTGTTATACTAAGGAGAAGAGGCCGCGGAGAACTTAACGGGTTACCAGGGCTTCGGTTCAAAGTGCAGGAGTAGGAACGGGGTGGTTTTTAGTCAGTAAGAGTCTGACACTCCCTCCTGCCTCCCTCACCCAAGCGGGGGAAGTCATTCCATGATTTTCCCCCCTTAAAAAATAAGAAGTCAGTTTTTTATACGTAGTTTGTAAAGTAATTATTAATTATTAATCCTTACTAATATTATAAATGGAAAAGTGAGTTTGTTTGTTTGTTTGTTCCGTTTTCACGCAGTAACTACTAACCGATTACTTTGAATTTTTGCAGACGTAAAGTTCGAAGTCCGGATTAAATAATAGGGTACTTTTTATCCCGGAAAAATTTGATATTGCGGAGGGAAAACAAAGGTATTGGTATAGATGGCGCTGTGTGTATTTATCTTTTTGTGACGCGAGCGAAGCCGCGGGTAAAAGCTAGTATAATAAAAAATAAAGAGTGTTGTTCTTAATGTTATATAATTTATTATTAAGTAAATTCTTACATTACAGGGCGATAACGGCGGGCCGCTGACGATATTCTACAACGCAACTGAAGAGGATATTTTGGTAATTACATTCTTATCATTTATTCAATTATATTAACTTTAATCCTATTTAATGCTCTTTTCTATCTTATCCTGATACATTACTTAACAGACAAACAATAATGTGTTTGTGTGTATGTTGCAAACTGCACTAACTGACGCTTAGTTGGAATCATGGACAAGAGACAGTTTGAATACATTTTTTTTAAGGGGGGAAAATTATCGAATTACTACTCCCGCCTGGGAGAGGCGGGAGGGAGTATCAAATTCTTACTGACTAAAAACCACCCAGTTCCTTCTCCTGCACGTCGAGCCGGAGCCCCGGTTACCCGTTAGGTTCTCCGCGACTCCGATACATTTAGGGCAACTGCAACGAGTTTACAGAGGCCTTAGTACGAGTTTCATTTACGTTTAAAGTATTCGTAACGAGTACGCGTTCGGCACTCTGATTGGCCGGCGCTAATGAATCAACCAATCAGAGCACCGAACGCGTACTCGTTTAGATAACTTTAAACGTAAAACAAACTCGTACTAAGGTCTCAGAAAGTATAGAAAATATAAATATTTAATCTAGAATGTTACCTATGTAGGCACAAACACTTTCGGGGGAAAAGATTAGTAACGTACAGAGGAAGGTTGGGATTCTAATAACCTCACTAACACCACCATTTGTAACTACAGAAATACACGGAGTCCTTAAAAAATAAACTAGTTCTTACTTCTCCGAGGTAGTAAATAGACCACCTAGGTGTAGTTCATCAAGACAGTAACGCCCCAGTAATTCTTTTTTATTTATTTTTTTGCTGTGAAAAATCATCCATTGACTTCTCCCGCCTTGGGTTGGCGAGAGGGAGTTTCAGACTCTTACTGACCAAAAATCACCCCGTTCCTACTCCTGCTCTTCGAACCGGAGCCCCGGTAACTCGTTAGGCCTTCCACGGCTATGTATCAGGCGTCAACACTACTGGGTCTGTAGTAGTCTATCTGTAGTGGTCTGATAGCTCTTTGAGGAGGCTTAAGTTAGTATTTAATTTTACAAAGAATTTGTAGTGAGCTATAGGTACTTAAGCGCGACTTAAAATTGATTGACGTTTGAGTTATTTGGACAAAAAAACCCAAAGGATAATTTTAATGAAAATTAGTACATTTTTATTTGGGAACTCCAATTTTAAGTAAGAGAATTACTTAATCATTATCTAAATTACAATCAAGCATGACGCACGCTCAATTAGGAAAATCCATGGATTTAGGTAATCGGATGATGTGATTTGTTAAAAAGGTCTTCGACTTTTCATCTAAACATTACATTACATTATTTACTCTATGTATACAGAGCTGCGGACAACCTAGCAGGTTACCGGCGCCCTGGTTCGAAGCAGGAGTAGGCACGTAGGAGTTTTCAACCTGTAAGCATCTTACGTTTCCTGCCTCACCCAAGACGGGGAGCAGTCATTGTATGATTTTCCCTTTCAAAAAAACCCTACGTATTACGTAGTACAAATAAGCAGTCGAAATAACTATTATTTTGTGTTCGTATCTAACCTACTTAAGACATATATCATATACGTGTGCCAATTTTTATCTCAACCATATTGTTTCCGTTCGTTTATCGTAATTAGACGATGGATAGAAATGACTAATTACTTGACGTAGGTAACCCTATCTAAATACTTGTTTATTTACTTGCTTAATGTAACAACGGTATATGCTACAATAGAAGCAACATATACCTTAACGTATTACATAATAGCACGAGAGATGACGACCGAAACCATGTCTCATAGCAATACGGCGAAAACCCTATAAAATCGTCAAATTGTATGATTCTGAACCCGACTAGGTCTGTAGTAACGGTCGAAAGTGTAGCAACTGCGTGGGAGGCCATTTCTGCTGTGTCAGAAATATCTGAGTATCGAAAAGTTGTCTGATAGAGAAGGTGCTACACTTATTTTGTCTGATATACATTTTTTGCACATGTGGACAACTTATTTTATCATGTCCAACAATTTTCAGACATATTGCCATGATACCGATCGGTAAAATTTGTTAACATTTTCAAAACGGTCTCAATATTTAATGCGTTCACATTTCCGTCTGAAAATTGTTTTGTTCGCATCAAATAACCAAAATTTACTAATAAAAAAGGTTTTCAGACGTATTGCTATGAGACATTTTTTTTGTCTGGTGATTTTGTGGTCAGATCAAACGCTACGCGGAAAATGTCTGATATTGGTATTTTCGAGTTCAGGATAATCGTATCTATCGAATTGGGGCGGTTTTGGCCGTATTGCTGAGACAAACATTTTGGTCGTCATCTCTCTAACTATAAGATATTTAAACATAAACATAATAATAAAAAGAAAATGTCTTACAACTCGAATCGAGAACATCCCAAGTCTTCGAGCCTCTTGTCTCAAATAAGCGGGTGGTACTTAAATTTATTCATGTAATCTGTGTGATAAAAGCGTCATATACTATTAATTTAAATCATATAATACTTGATATATTATACTTTCGAACAGGTTGGAGTGACTTCATTTATCAGCTCCACTGGCTGCAATGACGACCAACCCTCTGTGTTCACGAGGGTACAACGGTACCTCGACTGGATCAGCCAACTGACTGGAGTACCAATTCTCTATTGAGTTTGTTATATTAATTGTAACATGAATGAATATACGTATCTATGACTGTTTTCCTAATTTGCGTTTTATTTTTATCAGATTTCACAGATCAAGAACTGTCCTCAGTGATCATTTTATTTGGACCCACGCTAAGGGGTAACATCTCTCTATGCCTCAATCAGCCAATGTCTTTACGGGGTCAAGACAATTAATGTTATGATGTCATGTACCGGGCACATTTCCAGACTCCGTGCTATGTATGGAATCGAACTTGAGACCCCTTGCCCAGGAGTCGTACTTGCGACCACTCGGCCAATGAGGTAGTCATAATATCAAGTTTGACAAAATGTAGGTAGACATATATAGGTACATATTTATTTTATTTTGTATAATTTGGTAGTAGGACTAACGGCCGCAGTTAATAATTATTCAATAATCTCGGTCGTTAATATCTACATTTCAGATTATTTTTTAGGTAGTACTTAGGTATAGTTTTGCACCGATTTCAAAATCAACGCCAAAGATTACGATATGAAATTAATACCTGATTATATTAATTTTACAATACTAGGTAAACACTTCGTCGTTTTGACGCATATTTACGTTATCTTTATAAATAAACTGAACATTTTCTTGTTTGACTTTCTGAGTTGACGAAAACTGAAATCCTGCACGTATAAGATCTTTTTATTTTTATAAAAGAGATATGACTAAGTAACCCAAGCTTTTCTTAATGCTTCCTTACATTTTCCAAGGAACTTAGTTGTCTTTGAGCTTTCTACGAATAGCTGTTATTCTGTAGGTAGTTAAGCCAATTAGGTACATCATACGTAACAATTTCAAAATTGAAACCCAAAAATAAATGTAGATATGTCATAATTGGGTAGGTACTTGCCAACAAGTCAAATTCCATACTTTTTTCGAACTATCAAAAACGATAGTTTTCTGTGAATTTTGTACTAGTGTATTGAACAGTCGAAACAATTTATTTTTGATTAAGGAAAGTACCCAATTCATACAGTCATATTAACGACTTTTTAAAACAATTAATTTCCGTTAAAGCATTATTTGCACACATTGTCATATCGTCTATAATTTAAATCTTATATAATCTACATAAGCAGATTTGTTCTTAACTAATATTACAATTAAAATTAAGTATTGACAAACAGTGTTACCGCTCCGTTACAAATCACATTAGCTTTACATAATCAGCATAGTTATTGTAAATAACTTCATCAATCCGAAATGTTACAGCATAGAAAAAGTCTATTGTTTCACTGGCGATAACTAACCTATGTACTAAAAATTACAAAGGCCGACGTCACAAAATCTTATAGGTTCTATTTACCACAAATGTGATTGTGGTTAAATGGTGATTTCAGAATCACAACAAACAAAGCCTAAAGATTGATTAACTGAAAAGCTGGTTTCTTATCGAACATGGAACTAGGCTATTTTGAGGCCTTAGTACAAGTTTGTCTTACGTAAGTAATCGAAACGGCGCTCTGATTGGTTGGTTTATTGGCGCGCCGGCCAATCAGCCAAACGCGTACTCGTTTCGAATACTTTAAACGTAAAACAAACTCGTACTAAAGCCTCTGTACGGTGTCAATTCGAAGTTTCGAAGTGAGCTCAATCGCGATCGGCCATGTCATTGGTTGTGAGAATAATGTCGCCGAATGACGGTCGAGAATGCGATCGAGCTCACTTCGAGAATTCAAATTGACATCGTACAGAACAGCCTAACTGATAACTCGCCACCCGACCGGAACCAGACCCGAGCGTACGGCGCGTCCCGTTCCGCGCACTCAAAGAGCCGTCAGACCACAACAGATATACAAGCACCATATCGGCATCAGCTGATACGGAGCCGCGGAGCATTTAGTTGCCGGGGCTCCGGATCGAAGTGCAGGAGTAGGAACGGGGTGGTTTTTAGAGTAAGATTCTGACACTGCCTTTCGCCTCATCGGTAGAAGTCATTCGATGATTTTCCGTCCTCAAAAAAACCTCTATCGGTGTTCACGGTCCAGCAGCGAACACAAGTCTTTGTTCAGAGAAAATATTAAGACTACAAAAAAATTCTATCACAAAAGTAAAAATCGCGGATTTGTTAACGGCTTTATGTAATTATTACTATTTATTATAAATCGATATAAGTAGCAATCTATTCTTTGATTTAAACTAATTCGTTTTAGTCTTAACACGGGCACATAATGAAGGATATTATAATATTTTTTGTTTTATATCTCACTGGTGTGTTAGCTTTTTTGGAAGTACCGACCAATTACCACGATGCCATCGGTATTCCTACTGCAAAGCGGATAAAGGATCTGGAAGAAGCCATTCAAGCTAATCAAACTGGAACTATCGAGGACAGGATCATCGGTGGAAAGTTAGCACCTTTGAACGCGTACCCTTTTTTCGTATGTACTATTATTCATTCACTAGATCTACCTAAGTATCTACTAACTGTCTTAATCCCTCATATTGATAAAGTTATTTCAATAGGGTGATTAGCTGATCAACAATACTTTTGGGTACTGTTTACTTTAGAAAATACATAGCTGAAAGTTCGCAATCATGGGTACCTATAATCTTTAATTTTAACCCATTACTAATATACTTCTAATATTATGCTTCGGCACGAATGCGCCGGCTCGACCGGAGTAATACAACGACCTCCCAGGAAACCGACGTGAAACAACGATTGCGTTGTGTTTCGTCGTGTGAATGAGGTTCCTCCCCTACCCCAATCTCCCCAATCCTTCAAATTCCTAATACCCAAAAGGCCGGTAACACACTTGAAACGCCTCTGGTGTTCCAGATGCCCATGGACGACGCCGATTGCTTACCATCAGGTGATCCGTCTGCTCGTTTACCGACTTATCCCATAAAAAACAATTCATTATTAAGTTTTAAACTCAATTATTCTAACTTATTCTTCTACAGGCTGGCTTACATATAAGTTTAGTTGGTACCCCAAATACGTCAGTATGCGGTTCTACATTATTGTCTCCCAGTCGGGTGGTGACTGCTGCTCACTGCAATTTTGATGGCGTCGAACTAGCCTCGGAATTTACTGTAGTTTTGGGCTCCAATTTCCTGTATAATGGCGGTGAACGTATTGCCACTAGACAAGTCGTCATGCATCCCTACTATATACCCGGGGTAGCAAATGATATCGCTATGCTATACTTGCCCACGAACGTTATATTTACGGGTAAGTAAGCTTCACTACTTAATTGAAACGATTCAATTAATTATAACGTTACTTTCTTATTTTTTCAACATTTCTCATATTGGATCTCTTGTCGTTTTTACAGATATTATACATCCGATTAGGTTACCATATATTTCAGAGTTAGACAACCTTTTTGTGGGATATGAAGCCATAGCTGTTGGTTTTGGAAGTACTAGCGATACACGTAAGCTGTAACTCTCTTAATTTTAATAGCAATACTGTATATATAAATTAATCATTCAATATAGTTTGTCTCTTTTTAACCCACCTCCTTAGGTTCCCCCCCTAAAAAGAGACCCCTTGGTCTCGGGTTCGATTCCCGGGTCGGGTAAAGTATTACAGGGTTTTAAAAAAAATCAGTAGTAGCACGGAGTCTGGAATAGTGCCCGGTATATGGCAATAGGCTCACCCCTTATTACATGAGACTCATAACATAAATAGTGAAAAGTGGGTATCTACTAGAGGTAATTGTACAGCGACATAATGTGCCTTCTATCTATCTTATCTCCTTCGGGGATAAAAGGCGTGTTATTGAGTTATAGTTTGTGTGTATGTTTGTTATTCTCACAAAACCGCTGAAGGAGTCGTTGAAATTTAGAAGCGGGATAGCTTATGCTCTGGAATAACACATAGACTACTCTGTATCTTACAATAACGCGGGCGAAATCGCGGGCAGAAGCTACTTTTAGTACATACTTATTTGTATTATAACTTTCGTGAGACATACTAAATTATTATTATGTTTTCGGCTTACTCACGTAATTGTTTGACGAGGAACTCGACTAGTTTCAAGCCATGCTAGAGGCTCATATTCATGAGCAGCATTTCGCGACCCGCGACGCGGCGACTGTCGCGCTGCTACTGAAACTGAAATAATTACGTGAGTAAGCCGAAAACATAATAATATATTTAGTACATACTTAATAAAAAATCACAGGAGATAGAACCAGTTTATATTTATAGGAGATGTAGATTTTTCATCGTAGGTACGTTAATTTTACTAAAATAAGAGTTTAAATGAACTGCATTTCAGATCAAAATATAGCTGAGGACATATTGAGCTACGTCATGCTCCAGGTGATCGACAACGCTGAATGCAAGCCGTTCAGAGTGACGCCTAACATTATCTGCACGAGTGGTGTTGGACCTGTAGGACCTGTGGGTATTTGTAGTGGAGACTCCGGTGGCCCCCTTTTCACCTTGGACTCCAATGGAAATCCTTTATTGGTTAGTGACTACATGCTGGGCTGCATAAATTAGTTAGGCATTAAACGTTTATTTTGTGCTTTTCACGATGATTATCAGTTTGAGGTGCTTTGCCACATTTAAATATGAGACAATTAAATTCAATAATTAATTTGACAATTTAAAATTATTGCTGGTTTTTATTTGAAGACAGTGTGTTCAAGTTAAATCAAATCAAGTATGGGAGAGCCATGCTTCTGCTCGAATAGGCCGGCTCGACCAATCGGCTTGAATTCCGATCGATCGACATTGGTATTGTGAAATGTCGTACTCTCGAGTTGCAACATTAGCGCCCATTGCATCCGTATTGCGCGGATATTGAATGAACTAAATGGTACTGAGTTTGGCCTTATATTCCGTACTCTGAATGCTATTTTAGCTTTTATTGGATTGAAATTGCATTGACATTGAGATTGGTTTCAAGAGTAAGCAACCAGAGTAATATCACGGCCTCACAGAAAACCGTGAAACAATCCTTGCGTTATGTAAGTGAGGTTACCGGCAGTCCAAGAAGGCACTTGTAACGCCTCTGGTGTTCCGGGTGTCCATGAGTGACGCCGATTGCTTACCATCAGGTGATCCGTCAGCTCGTTTCACAGGCATATTCCATAAAAAAATATAATCATAATAATTTTTAACTATTGAAGAAGCGCTATGCCAGTCTCTACAATTTGGGAACAGCAGTCAAGTCCCCTTTCTTTTACAACCTTAGGAGTTGTTAACTACGAGAAACTTATAGGGCTATTACCAGCAACATATTTAACAGTGGAAATGCAATCAGTTGTAATTTATTAAACCTTTGTTCCAGATTGGTATCACCGCCTTCAGGAGTAGACTGAACGGTTGTGAAGGAGGTGACCCTTCAGGTTTCACTCGAGTCACCAGATACATGGATTTTATCATTTCTAATTTAGACATCACACTATGAGTGTGCTCTGTAATACATGGTGACAGAATGTTTAAAGTACCTATGTAATAAAATAAATCGATAGGAACAATTGTAACGACTTTTCTTTAGTTCATTTAATATGAAAATTGTGTCTGTGTACTGAAACCTTTATAATATTGAGAATACGTACACAACTATTTACTTAATCTAGTTATTACTAAAGATGGATACCAATTTTTGAAGTTGAATGTAATAATTATACTTAATATCTTATTAGAATATTATTTGAGGACACATTTTTCTCTGTTCGCTCTTTCAATATCAGCATTACCTTTTCTATCAGCATTCCTATCTCTTTCTCTCAACTGTGATTGTCGCTTAATTCTCTACGCCTAAACTGCTCCAAAATAATGCTACAATACTATTAATGATGATGTTCAATGATACGATACTGATATGATACTAAATTAATGAATTAACAGAATATCATTGAACCTAAGATTAGATAGTTGGCACTGATGATGATGAACGGCAACCGAGAAAACCCAAGTTTATCATATATAATCAGCGTCAGAAACAAAGACGATTAGCTTAGATATATAAGAGAATGACACAATGGATTGTAAGTATTCATTATAATGAAGAGTTTGGTGTTCGGTCTGTCTCTGATTGTCTGTGCTTCTGCCTTATTAGAAGTACAGACCAATTACCACGATGCTATCGGTATTCCTGCTGCAGAGAGGATCAGAGCACTAGAAGAAGCAAGTCTAGCTAACGAAGCCGTAACTAAAGGCAACAGGATCGTTGGAGGAGCACTGGCTCCTGTTGGCGCATACCCCTACTTTGTGAGTACATTACACAGTAATAAAGTATTAATACTTTTTTAACTTAGTGGTTTATGTGCTCTAGGCAGAGCCGAGGGCCACACTATTCGCCCATTCATAATAATGTAACCTATGATGTTTACGGCTTTATGAAGCTGTAAGCTAATAGTTTCAGAATTATGAACTTTCTTTTCTTTTGTGCAGGCTGGCTTACTGATCGACTTTATTGGTACACCTACCAGATCAGTATGTGGTTCTTCCTTATTGTCTACCAATCGCCTGGTGACTGCTGCTCACTGCTGGTTCGATGGCAACAGACAAGCGTGGCAATTCACAGTCATTTTGGGATCTAATTGGCTGTTTACCGGTGGTGAACGTATTACCACTCAACAAGTCATCATGCACCCTCAATATGTGCCTCAGTTCCTTACAAATGACGTCGCTATGATATACTTGCCCCGTAATGCTATGATTACAAGTAAGTGTTCAATTTTCATTTCCATACTCCTCAAAAGACCTCAATTCTTCTATAATTGGTAACCTATGATGTATTTTGCAGACCTTGTCAGACCGATCAGATTGCCTAATAATTCAGAGGTATGGAACCAGTTTGTGGGACATTGGGCCGTTGCTGCTGGTTTTGGAAGCACCAATGACGGTAAGTGGTGACCTAGCGTCGAAATTTTGTTAATATATTTTTACAATTTTTACAACTGATATTTTATAATCTGTTTATTAAACTGTCAAACACCAAGCGGTCACCGGTGACCGCAACCTATTGTTCTATAATTGTGTCTACAAAACCGGTACTCGACGAGTTAATTGCATTGCAGAACAAACTGCAGCTTCGACTGTGGTGAGCCACATCACACTACAGGTGATCAGCAACATTCAATGCCAAGCTTCCTTCGGTTCAAACATTGTGAAGCCCAGCACTCTCTGCACAAGTGGATTTGGCATTGTGGGTATTTGTGGTGGAGATTCCGGTGGCCCTTTTGCCGCGTTTGATAACACTGGCAACCCATTCTTGGTAAGTCTTAGTAATAAGGCCCCGTTTTTATAGTCTCATTAATTGTAACACTGTGACGTAAATCAAAGGACAGTTAAATAAATTGATAAACTGAGTAAAGAATAAAATGCAAATAAAATTCACAAGTTACAACTTGAATATTTACCTTTTCCAGATTGGTATTAGTTCCTTCACGGCTTACAAAAATTGTACGGGAGGTCATCCTTCGGGCTTCGCTAGAGTTACCAGCTTCATCAATTTTATTACTCAACATTTGTAAATATATTTATGTACGAATACGTTATATATTTGTCTCTTTTATTTTTAAGATAGATGTAAATATATTCTCACTATTAATAAACATGTTACAATTACTTAATTCTTATGTGGTAGGGCAGTGCTCCAGCTCCACCGCATTTATACCTGTATCAATCTGATGGCTTTCTAAAATCGAAAGTATCGACTCCGAAACGAAATGATTTGATAGAGCAGGTTTGATAGAGGTTGAGGCGCCCAAAGTTGCCTCGACTACCTATATGAATCAAGTTGCCAAACTCGGGACTCACATTTAGGAAATTAAACCGTTACCTACAATACAACCCACCTATGTTCCGCGACTCATAGTTTGGGAAATCCTGCGATAGAGAGTATTATGGAAGCAGGTGATTAAGCATAGACCTAAACTAACAGAATGATAAGATAAGTAGGGAATGAAAAAGAAAACCCAAATTAAAGATGAATCGAAAGTGATTCAACGATAAAGTTAAACTGAATGGCTAGCCTAATTTTTATAAACATGCTATATCTATCTTTAATTATTTTTACAAAATTGTGCTACAACCTACTAGTAAATGTTTAATATTAGTTTGATATGAAAAATATATCAGATTGTAACAATGATAATGTTTACGATACCATTGTTAATAACCATGTAGGCGTGTGTTTTTTTATAACCTTTTTGGAACATCCTTGTAGAAAGATACGCCTGGAAATACACACTTCGCATAGCCATTACCTTTTCCTTAATGGTTTCAATGAATTGTTCAAAGATTAGATAGATAATTGTCATTGATGAATGATGGCATAGAAAATCCGTGATTATATGTATTAATTAGTGTCTGAAAAATAGATGAGATTAGCTTGGATATATAAGAGCGTGCCACATTTAACTTTATTTAGACTAACGGCTGTTAATGAACCGAAAGAGGTATGTAAGAATCGTAGCAATTGGCGTTCCATAGTCTCTGACTATACCCATGGGAAACAGGCGTGAGGTTATGTATGTATTGTATGTAATATTAACTATGAAGAATTTCGATCTGTTTCTGATTGTCTCTGTTACCGTTCTAGTGGACGTGCAGACCAACTACCTCGATGATATATGTATGTACATACAATATGTTGGCTGGTAGATATTGGCTGTCCAGATATTGTGTAACAAGCCCTTATTGATACCCACGATCGGAATTATATATTAAAGTAAAAAAAACCCTGATTTCCTTTAATCGTCATTTGTTTCATTTGGCTTGACCAAGTAACGTTTAAATCAAAATAATATTTATAATTTTTATCATAATCCTTAATTATTATTATGATAAACATACAGAACGATTAGAGTTTATTGATTGCTTTATTTTGTAAATGATGTGTTCACACACTCTAAATTAGTTTTTATGGTTACGGTTCGAATCCGGTAAGTGAAAATTTAATTTGGTTGATCGAAGTTTGTTCAGTCTGGGCATCACTATGTAATGTAGGTATGTCTTATTACTTGTAAAGTTGTAACATCAATATAAGTAAGTACTGAGTATTAGCTTATTTCGCGTACCGAATAAGACGCCCTTGTGAAAACCGAACCGTAAAGTGACAAGTAGGTACTAACACAATGATAAGATAATTCTAAGTTTTACAAAAGAGAAGGAATAGAACATTCATTGATTTTTTTGTGGCATAAGCCAGTAAACGAGCACACGGATTACCTGATGGTAAGCAATCGGCGTCGCCACGGACACCTGGAGCACCAGAGAACGCCTCACCAGAGAACAAATGCGTTACCAGCCTTTTGGGGATTAGGAGTTTGAGGATCGTTGGGGACTCAGGGATTGGGGAAGTGGTAATTGGGCCTCCGGTAACATCACTTACACGACGAAAAACAACGCGCAAGTGTTGCTTCACGTCAGTTTTCTGTGAGGCCTGTGAGTTGTGAGTTATTATTCCGGTCGAGCCGGCCCATTTGTGCTGAAGCATGGCTCTCCCACACTAAGGATATTGTCTTTAGGACAGTAACACTAAAATCTGCAGACAGAACTCAGACAGCCCAACTAGATGCCATCAATGACTTGAGCAAAGACTCATTACTCAAGGGCTGATTCGTAAACCAGCTTAAGTACCAGTTTTTTACTCTTCCTTATGTCAACGAATTTATCATCAATGTATTTGAACGACCAATAATTTTGTGAGTAACAAAATTTACTGCGAAGTAAAAAGCTACGGTGGTAAAATATTAAACGAAATACGCTTAAACTTAGATTAGATAGTTGGAATCGATGACAAAGAAAACCCGCGATTATATTAATCAGCGCCTGAAATAACGATTAGCTTAGATATATAAGAGAATGGCACAGTGGATTGTAAGTATTCATAATAATGAAGAGTTTGGTGTTCGGTCTGTCTCTGATTGTCTGTGCTTCTGCCTTATTAGAAGTACAGACCAACTACCACGATGCTATCGGTATTCCTGCTGCAGAGAAGATCAGGGCACTAGAAGAAGCAAGTCTAGCTAACGAAGCCGTAACTAATGACAACAGGATCGTTGGAGGAGCACTGGCTCCTGTTGGCGCTCATCCATACTTCGTAAGTAAATAATATAGTAATAAAAAAACAGTCTAGATGAGAGAAGTGCTCTAATTTTCAGAAATGTAAATAATTCAATGTTGATCTAAATTAATTTCATTACAATAGTCTAAGTTAAAGTATGTACGATATTACTCAATTTTACTGACGCGCTACTAAAAGGTTCTGACATCATCGTGCGTAATAAGCTGGATGGAACTGTATCTTCAGATTTCGATGTATAGCTACTGTTACTAATCGATAAATCATCTTACGTTTAGGTCCACATTATATTATGTTTAATTTAAAACTTTTACTTTTATGCAGGGTGGCTTACTGATCAACTTAGTTGGAACTACAAGCAGATCAGTATGCGGTTCCTCTTTGTTGTCTGCCAATCGCCTGGTGACTGCTGCTCACTGCTGGTTCGACGGCTTCAGGCAAGCGACTGAGTTCACCGTTATTTTGGGCTCCAACTGGCTGCACAGCGGTGGTGAACGTATTTCTACTCGACAAGTCATCATGCACCCTCAATATGTGCCTCAGTTCCTTACAAATGACGTCGCTATGATATACTTGCCTTGGAACGCTATGATGACTGGTAAGTTTTACGATTATAACAGAACGAATTATTAAATTTGTATGTTGGACAATACTTGAATTTGTTATTAGAAATATTTATTTTATTGTCGTATTTACAATACCCGTTTATACGATTTACTTTCGTACTTATGTAAGTCATGGTTGGCAGTCGGCAGTTCCAGTTTATTTTGAGTCGTATTTATATTTATCGTTTAACTTATTTTCAGCAAACGTCCGACCCATCAGATTACCCAGAAACATGGAATTGTGGAATCAGTTCGAGAACCATTGGGCTATGGCAGCTGGCTTCGGAAAAACTAGCGATGGTAAGTGTCAATTTCCTTTAGAAATTGAATAATAGAAACTACAAATTGTAAAAATAAAGTGTCTTAAGGTTTCATCTGAGTGGAGATAGCCTTTTGCCAGTCATCTTGCACGAGAAGACGACACAGTATCACAATATTACTGGATTTTTTTATTACAGCTCAACAAACTTCTGCTTCTGTGGTAAGCCACGTGTCGCTGCAGGTGATCAACACCAACACTTGTGCACAACGGTTCGTGGCCGGTTTCGTGACTCATAGCACCATTTGCACTAGTGGCGTAGGCAGCGTTGGTATCTGTGGTGGAGACTCTGGTGGTCCTCTTGCTGCTCACGACAACTTCGGAGAGCCGTTCTTGGTGAGACATCTTTTTATTATTCTGACCTATAGGCCTTTATGTCCCGTAAGAATTTTGACCTCTTTTGGCCATTTGAATCTATTATATAGCGTTTACTTGGGAATATTAACCTTTTCTTAAAATACTTAGATATATTATTAATGTGCTAAAATCGTATAGAAATTCACAATATTCAATATAATAAACTCGTAAATATAATCCCTTTTTTGTTCTATTACAGACTATTTTAGCCTACAGTGTTTAATTTAATAAAATTCAATGTGTTTCAGATTGGTATCAGCTCTTTTGCGGCACTTGACCGGTGCCAAGGTGGTTTCCCATCAGGCTTCGCTCGTGTGACCAGCTTCATCGGATTCATATCTCAACACATGTAAACATTTTTACAATGAGCATAATAATGCAACTATTGACTGATTTTAAAATTAAAAAAATATTACTATTTTTAAGTATTACCGGACTTTTCTTTTTTTTTTCTTCAACGTTGAATCAGGTATTTTAATACCAGATCCCGTATCTACTAGAAGTCTATTTAAAATTGTCTCATCGACCGAGTACCTAATAGCAATTAGCAAATGACACTATGAGAAGGAGGCTGGGGTTCGATTCCTGCATCAATCAAATTGTCAACAATTTTTTTAACACCTCCATAAGATAATTCGTCTAATCAGATAATCTGCAAGAAGAAATCATAAGTACTTAATTAATGTAGTAAGCTTATTTTGTAAATCCAACGGTTTTCCCAAATTTCAGATAAGTATGAATTAATACCGAGTAATTATGCTTGACAGTTGTAGGAAATTACATATTCCGGTATTAATTTTATCGAAACGATCAGGTCTACCACACCGGGTTTCCTTACATTACGGATTATAAAGGTATAGACACACTTGCGTCAGCTATGTCTATTATTTCACTTTATGTAATAACTAGCTTTTACCCGCGGCTTCGCTCGCGTCACAAAAGGATAAAAAGTAGCCTATGTGACATACCAATACACACAGCGCCATCTATACCAATACTTTTGTTTTCCCTCGGGAATATCAAATTTTTCCGGGATAAAAAGTACCCTATTATTTAATCCGAACTTCTAAGTTTACGTCTGCAAAAATTCAAAGCAATCGATTTAGTAGTTACGGCGTGAAAGCGGAACAAACAAACAAACAAACAAAAAAACTCACTTTCCGATTTATAATATTAAGTAAGGAATCGAGGAACCGGCCTTGGTTTTCATAATATCTACCCTTTTTGACGCAATTCTTTATTCGCCTGTTGGTGTGTGTTATGTGCAATTTCTTCTTGCCAAGTATGTGTGCTCTCTAGAACAAGACCACTCTTGTACTCTTTGGGAGTCGGTGCCGCAGAGGACCTAACGGGTTATCAGAGCTCCAGCTCGATGCAGAAGTAGGAATAGAATAGTCTTTAGTTAGTGAGAGTCTGACACTCTCTATCACTCACCCAAGGTTTTTTGTATTTTTTTTTAACATTGCCCCACACTAGGATTTTCTCCTGTGTCATGGGTGCGTTTTGAAAGGTTGGAGAAGATATAGGATTTTCCCTCCCAAGAAAAATAATATTCGGCCTTAATTTCACAACATGCATATTGAGAATTGTAGAGGAAGTAAGAACCAAATGCAAGTCTGTTAATACCTTTTTTTTAATATTAAGTAAGAAGATATATGACAAAGTATCAGTAACTACTGTGATTAACTAATTGATATAAGGACGAACGTAAAATGAATGTTTAAAGCCAAGAATACACTAGGGGACAAATTTAATGTCCTGCGACACGTGACTTCTTACAAAATAGCTTAGCAGGTCTACTTCATGCGCAGAATATTATTTTAGTATGATAAACAAATTGTTATTCTGAATCTGTGTGTGATGTGGTGTGAAATTATGTGTTATCAAAGGAAACGTATCAATCATTACGGAAATTGTGATTGGTTTTAAAAGAAAAATAATTATATTATAAAAAGTCATAAGGCGTAGGTATCACATTTATACCGCACCTTTTATTTTTGCAAATTAACAGACGTTACGCACTTTTAATTGGGTAGGTAAGCCGTTATTACATACAAGTTCAAACTTATTTCCCTATCGTTTTACGTTGATAATAGTATCGAATTAAGACCCGATAAGTTGTGATTTCACAGATAATTTATAAATTACTCGTGACAAACAAATCATGTGAGTCCCTTTTTCTTTAGGCAAATGTTGTTTATGGTTTAGAAATGACGATGAGATCATAATTTGTGAAAGACGTCATAACTTCTAGCTCTGATTTCTGCGGTAGTAGCAATTGATTTAGATAATGAACGGCTATTTCCCACTAAATAGGGGCTCTTATCATTTTAATCCTCTTATCAGTCTAGGTCTAGTAGCCAATAGTCATAAAATAAATAAGACTGCTGTATATTATTCTGCCTTCAATTCAATTTTCAGTTTTAGCAAAATAATTTTGAATTTTTAAAATTTAACGGCTGTTCAGGAATTGCATTATGGATTAATTGGGAATCAATGTAATACGCAAGAGTCAATGCTTGTGTAATATTACGTGATTTATTGTTGGCTATTATGCTTTTGAAGGTAAATCCTCCACTAGGGTCGGTAACCGATGAACCTCCATGGCGTTGAGCATATTAAGGATTAAGGTATTGATTTCTAAATTAATTTTTATCATTATGAACATTTTTATAACAATGAAAACAAATTATTTACCTGTCACTCGATTATCCAATTACCTATAATCTTATCTCTAGGTTTTTGATAATTTATATTTAGGTACCTTACCTAGTAGAAAAGATGCTCGATATCACCAATTGGCGCCAAAAGGAAAATTTACTGAATAGATTACGTTTATTTCTTGTTATAATTTACCAATCAGAAGAAATCTGTTGTGATTTATTAGATACTAAAGTTGAGATTCATACATCCAATTATTTATCGAATTGATCAGCAGACGTACCACGTATGTATAAAAATGAATATACCTAACCAACACCTGTTGTAGGTACCAACAAGTCACATGTCGTACTTTTTTTTAAGGCGAATTCATGGAGTGACTTCTCCCGCCTAGGTGAGGCGGGAGGGAGTGTCAGACTCTTACTGACTAAAAACCACCCCGTTCCTACTCCTGCACTTCGAGCCAGAGCCCCGGTAACCCAGTAGGTTCTCCGCGACTCCGTATCGGCATCAGCCCTATTGGGCCCCATCCCTGGTGGTCTGATGGCTTTTTGAGGCGCGCACGGAACGCGACGCGCCGTACGCTCGGGTCTGGTTCTGATCGGCCGATGCTCGCCGCCCGCAGGCCCGCGCTTACGGTGTCCGGAGATCGTCCCGCGATCCCCGACGCCCTGAGTGTGCTTCGCGATGGCTGGGCTGCGAGCAGGCAGCGCTTCACTGTCTTACGCGTCCCGCCTCCTCCTTAGTTAACATGACTACTTCACAAAAGGAGGAGACGGCATCCCAGTCCCCCTCGCTCCGCATCATGACACGCACTAGGACCGGACGCTAGAGGTCGCCGAAGTGGTCAATTGGGATTAGCTAAAATAGTAACTTTAAGATTGATTAAAAGTGACGCTTTTGTTATTGAAACACGAATTAAATCCTCAAATCAATCCTACATGGATTGATTTCAGTCAAACATGTAAATAATACAAGTGAAAAAATTGTAATCCGTAAACAGATTACATATTATCTGACAGGTCTGCCTGTCTCGATAAACTAATCGGCTTTTATATAATTGCATACCAATCATTACACACGATTAGATCTGATTTAGTGTACAAAAGGTATATAAGTAGCTTTAGATATCGGCTCGTTATATTTAGTTACAATATTTTTACACAATGCGTGCTGTTGTTCTGTTAGGCTTGGCCCTGGTGGCTTCAACGTCCGCCCTAGTGGAAGTAGGGACCGGATACCACCAGGCCGTTGGTATTCCTACCGCAGAGAAGATCAAAGCTGAGGAGCAGAAACTTCTGGCGGTACAAGCCTCAGACAACAGGATTGTTGGTGGTGCCATCGCGCCAGCCAACGCGCACCCATACTTTGTAAGTAATGCTGTGAAAACCAGTCAAATATAAAAGTATTTTCTATCAAGCCAACACGTGTTGTAACTGACCAACAGAATGAAACGATAGTAAGATATCGTATTTGATTGTAATGACAATAATATTATGTCGAAATAGTAACAATTATATATTAACGCTAAGTATTTACAAAAAGTTTAACCGTGCAGAAAACTTCAGGCCCAACACAAGTAATGTATATATACTGGTTTTAGTAGTTTAGTAAGCGCACTGGGGCTGCCTCAATGTTAGACAGATATTGTAATTCTTGAGATGATAAAACATTTGAATTTAAATTAAGAGCGCAAAGAATAATGTTTAATTTTTCTAATGATAACTTGTGCAGACATTGCAATCTCACATGACATACAGTCTCCTTTAATTAGTTAATACTAAGATTCAATATCCAATATCCACAATTTCATCTTCGTTGCATAGTGATATCGAACTTTTTTACAGGCTGGACTGCTGATCAGTTTGGTGGGTACTTCTGGTCAATCAGTGTGTGGTTCCTCTCTCCTGTCTGCCAATCGTGCGGTGACAGCAGCTCACTGCTGGAACGATGGGTGGAACCAAGCCTGGCAGTTCCTCGTTATCCTCGGATCCAATCTCCTATTCTCTGGTGGCACCCGAATTGCTACTACCGATGTCATCATGCACCCACAATACAGTGCCTCTAACCTTAACAACGATATCGCCATGATTAGACTGCCGACCAGCGTTCTATTTAGCAGTAAGTCATTTATTCCGTTCTTCGTAAATATCATAAAAGAAGTTCTACGTAGTACGTATATTTACTATCATAGATTAAGAATGAAAAATACTCAATTTAACTAATTACGAATTACGATAACAAATACGAACAAACGATTAATTCAATTGATTAGTTTTGACATAAGGTCTACTAAAATGAATAATTTATTCACCTATATATCATTTATTTGAATGAAAATGATTAATCAACAAGTAAAATTTTAAATAAATGTAGATAGCTCGTGGCAACTACTGATGTAGAAGCAGATTTTGACTAGCATTTTACTTACATACTTTTCCTTTGAATTTACAGACAGTATTCAGCCTATTGCCCTTCCGAACAACTTGTCTCAAAATTTTGCTGGATTCTGGGCAGTTGCTGCAGGATTCGGAAGAACCAGTGACCGTGAGTATGACCAAAGATTTTATTTAAGAGACTAAATAAAGTAAGCCTTGCGTCATCAGAAAGAAATGCAACAATTTGATAGTCGTTAGCAAAAGTTCTGACAATCAGTTTCAATTATTTTCCTATGTTTGCAGAGCAAGCTGGTGCATCCACGATTGTAAGTCACGTAAACCTGCAAGTTATCAGCGTTGCGGCCTGTCAGTCTGTGTTCGGTAGCGTGTTCGTGGTTCCTAGCACGATCTGCACCAACGGCGCTGGAGGAGTCGGTATCTGCGGCGGAGACTCTGGCGGTCCTCTAGTCTTCAACCAGAACGGCATACCTACTTTGGTAAGTCTTGTCAGATACTATACAAAACTGTAGGATACGATTGCAAAAACAACAATTAACATAGTCAATTTCATAGATCAGTGACCATATTTTCCGAAATTCTGTAGGTTATATCTAAGTCTATCGATCTTTATTAATCCAGATATTTCTTATTTCAGATTGGTGTCAGCTCTTTCGTCGCAGCAAATGGATGCCAGCTTGGTTTCCCATCAGCTTTCGCTCGAGTCACCAGCTTCGACAGCTTCATCCGGCAATACCTATAAATACCATGACTGATCAGAAATATAACATAGTTTACGTTTTATATATTTTGTTGTCATTGTATTTTGAAATGTATCTTCCCTAATGAAAACAATTTTAGCATCTGTTGCTGAAATAGGTCTTAATACTACTTTACTGACAAAAACAAGGTGCACCTTAAGACCTGATAATTAAAAGTATCTCGTGAGGTCTCCTTTATGCCTTTGTCACCATGCAGCAGCGTTTGACATAAAATATCTATCAAGCTAACGATATCTGTAATGAAGCCTTGTAAGCTCTTTTTTAAAGGTATCTGTAATAAGTACTTCGAAATACAATTTGGCTACGTCTGTCTGTATCAGTTCACGCTACGCCACTGCACCCATACCCATCCCTATATCTGATTTGGGAGATGAATATGTTATGACAAATAAAAACCAGGCAACTGCCGCTGCCCAAATAATTGAACAATTATTGCTTTAGATTTTCTATAGTTTCTGCCAACGGAAAAAAATCGTTTGTTTTGACTTTTATGATTACTGAAATAAAATAAAAATTGGGAGGTTTTTATCAATTTTTACGCATGCACATCTACGGTGATCTACGTAGTCTAGGGGGCCCGAATAATGGATACGGCAGATACACGGCGCGGCTCTAAAATAGCTACTGCTTCTAAACTTAAATAGGTACGACTGTCAAGTGTCACTCACTGATTTACGACGATCTTCTATACCTAAGGTTTAGTACATGTCGCGGAGAACCTAACGGGTAACCGGGGCTCCGACTCGACGTGCAGGAGAAGGAACGGGGTGGTTTTTAGTCAGTAAGAGTCTGACACTCCCTACCACCTCACCCAGGCGGGAGCAGTCATTCGATGATTTTCCCCCTTAACACGTTAAACGCCATGGCAGTCACCGGTGACCGACATTAGCAGAGGATTTGCCTTCAACAGTTTTTTATTGGCAGCCAAAGCCTTAAAAAAAAAAAAAGGTTTAGTACATCCCCAGTTCCGCATGCACATCTATCTAAGTAGGATATTAGGATATCTTAGTAGGAAATAACTTGGGATTAAAGGTATAAGGACCTTCATATTTTTATTACTTTTATGCATTGGCATTGAGGTTAACGTTAATCCAATGGTGGCCTTGTCGTATCTTGCACTCGTAATCTTGCCTAATCGATTTAATTTTATTGTATTAATTCGTCAAATATTTTCAAGTTAACAAACACGTGTCACTGTATTATCTATCTTATCTTAATCCGATACGTTTTAAGTAGGTATTTACAAAATTAATTTTCTAATGCATCAATCAAAAACATGGTATTTCCCAATCTACTTAGTATTGCAATAATATTTTAGACTTAAGTGTGACATGTAACAAACAATCTTTATTATTGATTACCTAAGTAAGTAACAATTGAAACAAGGTAAACAAGGGAAACAAGTGAATTTATTTCTGCAAATAGGCTACAAGGCAGCACTTTTACACGTCAATTTTATCAAGCGAACGATGAGGTCGACATTTCCTAACTGACTACTCTGAGAAGAAATGCCGAAACAAACTCAGAGGTCTGTCTCTTTTAAAGTCCAGACAATATATATAACAGATTATGTGTGAGAACCGTGCCAGTTCTTTCTGTAGTGGGCTTTTGAGGAAAGAACCACAACAGTTTGAGCGGACCCGTTCTGAAGGCAGTACGCATGTGTCGGTTTACAGTCAGCTCAATTAACAGGTGAGGCTGACTGATTCGACGAACAATACCAACCTAAAGAACATTTGCGTGGGTCGCACAAATACTCAAACTGTCAGAAAAAGGGTAATTAGAAAAGAAATGGTGAGGCAAAGTCTCGCACGGTCCTAGCACTAACAATTGTTAGGTAGGTACTGAAGATAGGACCTATTGAATTTTTTTTATGGGATAAGCCGGTAAACTAGCAGACGGATCACCTGATGGTAAGCTATCGGCGTCGCCCATAGACGACACCTGGAACACCAGAGGCGTTACAAATGTGTTACCGGCCTTTTGGGATTAGGAATTTGAGGATTGTTGGGGATTCAAGAATTCGGGAAAAGGGGGAGGGTAATTGTGATATTCAATTATTTACAAATACTAAGATGAATGTTTAGGTACATTAATTATTAACTACAAATCGAGATTAACCGACGGCGACGTCCGTGCTTCAACAGGGATGGTGGCTGGGCACTGCCACCCTGAAGTATGACACAGAAAGCGTTATATGTAACACTGACTTTGTACCGAACCCGGAATCGAACCCACTACTCGAGCCGCTGGTGAACGTACCGTGGGCCTCAAGGGCCTCAACATCGTTCAACGTGCCGCCGCGGCGGCGCGTTGTTCTCGTGGCATCCGGCAGAAGGCGCGGTGGGCTCGCAGCGCAAGTAACAACACCGATGCGAGCGCCAACGCTAGCCAGCAGTAGGCTATGCTCATGAGGAAGAACCCCACTGTGGTTCAAAACTAGTAGAGCTTTTCTCAGTATAATCACGTAAGGAACCCGCGATTTGTAGTTAATTTAGTATGTCTCACGATAAACATTAATTATTAAAGCTGAGGACGAGACAACTTAGCGAGTTACCGGGGCTCCAGCCCAAAGCTGGAATAGGAAAAGGATGGTTAGTTAGTAAGAGCCTGACTCGCCCTCTAGCTTGCCTCACCCAAGGCAAGGGCGAAGTCATTGGACGATTTCCCCCTCTAAAAGAGACTTTAGTTGTGATAAAGATTTCAATTAACGGCCAAAAAATAACAGATTTGAATCCAAATCATTGAATTAAATTCAATTTTCGATGTCAGATATTTAGAGTTTACCTAACTTTCGTTAGACATTAAATTAATTAATTATTATGTTTTTCGGCTTACTCACGCAATTATTTGACGGGGAACTCGACTAGTTTCAAGCCATGCTAGAGGCTCATATTCATGAGCAGCATTCCGCGACCCGCGACGCGGCGACTGTCGCGCTGCTACTGATACTGATAGTAGCCGCGTGACAGTCGCAGAGTAGTAGTCGAGTTCCTCGTCAAATAATTACGTGAGTTAAACCGAAAAACATAATAATTTATTTGGAGTTGTTAATTTCGGCCATAATTGTTAATTAAGTTACAGTTAGAAGTAACTTCATATATTGTTATGAAAGACTTGACTATATTTATTTAGGTACTTAACTTTAGGTACCTATTTCATTATCGTCTTTCACGAATTAGGTACCGACCGAATTGATGTAATCCTTGGCACTTATCTCATTGCACGTGCACGTGAGTGATTGCAATTCGATTGGAGCTCATCTAATTAATATTATTAAATAAATAATCGATAAAGAATGTCCAAATCAACAAATGTCATCTGCAAAAAAAAATGCGCAGAAAACAAAAAACATCAGCAGATTTTTTTTTCGAGATTCGAAATTCAAATTAGCTATGACAAGGGTACTAGCTGATGTAAAACGCTATAGGTTCAATAATTTTACATGGATATGGATGGATGGTTTTATTTAGATATTTTTTTAATGTTGCCAACAAAATATGATGAAAATTTAATCTTATAATAAGATAATTAAGGTTTTAAGTTTAAAAAAAAAACAAAATATCATTCAAGCTCCTTTATTTCGACCAGGTACTTACAATGTGTTCACAAAATGTATAATGTTCAAGCCAGGTAGGCGTACGATAGGCAACATCTATTACATACAGTTACAATCAAACCAGCTGGTTCACATACATAAATTATCTTAGTAATCTTTAAAATATTTAAGGCCTGTGCAGACGAGGGACTTTTGGTTACTGGCATCAATTTAACTTGGGTTTTGATAACGATCCATCGAGAAATTCACTCAGTTGCATTATGGGATATTCTTAGACCACTTTGTGAGATATTCAGTATATATAGTAACTGTTTACAAAGGTTGACATAAAACGTGGCCCGTCTGCACAGACCGTTTTACGTCAATATTTATGAAGTCGATAATTATAATTTTATGTTAAATAACCACCAAACTTATAACTTATTGAGTACCTTGTCCATTTCATTCGTTCAGCACTTTATAACGCACAAAGTGATCCTACTATTCAAATTTGAAATGTGCGACAAAAGCATACTTTGTAAAACAATGCACATACCTTCTCGTACATAGAACAAAATGTTTTTGACCATACAACAAGTTATTACGTACTTTTATCATGCGATTATTTATTTTATTTTAACATCCAAGCTTCCTGCCATCGATTAAAGTAATAACAAATATGACTACTACATGTTGAGACTAGAGATACAACTTAAATCTAACAATGTATTCTAAAATTTCATGATTAATGGATTACTAAACATTAGCTGGTTTATTTCGGGCACACTATAATTAGGAAGCTAAATACTAATTGAAAAACAAAATTCGATGTTCTTATACTAAAAATTGAAGTCAATTGTTAAAATAAGATCTCGCCCTATCATTCCCCATGATGATACGTATACATATAAAATGTAACACTTTTAGGCTCTAGACAGACGAACTGCATTTTAACTGCAATCCAACTGCAAATTTGCAGTTAAATGCAGTCCAACTGAAAATTTGCAGTTAAATTGCAGTCCAACCGAAAATTTTCAGTTAAAATACAGCCCAACTGAAAATTTTCAGTGAAATGGAGTCCAACTGAAAATTTTCATATAAAAACCAGTCCAACTGAAAATTTACAGTTAAAATGCAGTCCAACTGAAAATTGGCAGTTAAAATGCAGTCAAACTGAAAATTTGCAGATCGGATGCAATTTAAATGCGCAGTTGACACGACTGCAATAGAACTGCAAACCAACCATGCAGTCCGATTGCAGTCGGCGTGTAGTACCCACGACTGCATGCCGACTGCAATTGGAGCGTGCGGTTTATTTTTAATAAGGGGGCCATTTACCTATCACCCGGGGGTAAGCCCAGACACTCAAGACTCCGAACTATTATTGACCATTTCTATATTCAAAAATGACAATAATAACTTAGAATCACACCCAAGCCCGAGACCGACGCAGTCAGTTAAATAAAAATAAAGCTAATATTAGAAGCTGATATTTAAATCTATTTACAAGCTTCTTCTGAATACCTAAGTATCTTAAATTACATAAACGTTAATATGAGAGGACAATTCCACTTTTCAATGTTACGTAACATATAATTTTAAAATATTTACATAATGAATTCACATTATCCCGGTGACAATTGATGTAATGACGATATTAAAAATCTAAAATAAATATAGGTAATAATGTTCGAGATATTTAAAATTTAAAATAACAAATATTCATGTAAATCTTAAAGGAAGCAATAATTAAAACTATCTTAATGATATCACAGTTCATTTATGCAAATAAAGATATATATATAATGTAGTTGAATATAAGTATAATATTATATTACAAATTGGAATAAATCACCAAAAGAATTGTTGTTATGGCAATGACTTGAACATTTCAACAGAACAACAATATTTTTGTTCGATGCTTGGGGTCCACGTTTATTGCAACACCATTGTCGTACGATTAGTCGCGCTACCCGGCTGTCTACAACCACAAACGTGGTCGCCGGGTACAATTTGAGGAACCATGTTACCATCAGGTAAGATACACGTAGAATGGTGTCCCAATAAAATATGGCTCTTATTGGTTACAACATAACATCGCAAATTAAAATAATGGGATATCAATTGTCTTGTAAAATGTGTTTCCTTTAATAATATCAATACACGACGAATATTTTATTTAATATCAATTTTTATTATTGAAATATTTATTCTATTTGAAATATGAATTTAGACAGTTTCGATAAAGGTGCTTTAGATCTAGACATAACATGCTCTCCTATTAAGGTGGACGCACACTTATCCGAGCCGAACGCGTCGAACGTGTAGAACTAGACGAACTAGAGAATTCTGTGTATAAAATTTCATGAAACTTCGCATACTTTGGCGTCAGACGATTCGACGCGGGGAAGTGTGCGAGGTTTTATGAGATTTCATATACAGAATTCTAAAGTTCGTTTCGTTCGACTCGTTCGACGCGTTTGGCTCGGATAAGTGTGCGTTCAACTTTAGTAGGTAGAGGTGCACATGTTAAATGTAACACACTCTTCGCCTCACGCAATAAGTCCCATTTAATAAGGGACAAAGTTTATTGCTAGAAAAGCGGGTCCAATAATGGAGATTTCATTCCTTTACTGAGAAATTTCAACAGTACCTACTTTATGACCCGACGCCCTTTGCTTCCTGAAGGCTTAGTACGAATTTGTTGTACGTTTAAAGTCGTCGAAACGCGAACGCATTCGGCACTTTGATTGGCCGGCTTCCGTGAACGAACGAATCACAGCGTCGAACGCGGTCTCGTTTCGAATATTTTAAATAAACGTAATTTAAACTCGTCCTAAGCCTTTTGAGCAATACTATGAATTAGGAATATAATTATGAATGTTAAAACGCTCATATAATAGAAGAGATTGTACAAATCTGCACCCTTATCCCTACAGTCAATAACAACTATTTGAATAAATTTATTTCTAAGTGAACAAAATTATCAGTGTAGACAATGATATGGTCTAAAACCTGTTACATGTGTATAGTGCAAATGTTGAAATGTTGAATGTGTTCAATAAATTGTTTCAATTGGCTAGAGTCGTGGGGTATTTATGTTGGACACAGGACCTTTAGGATGTAGTCTGTTAATAGAGTCGGCACGGTCGGGCTGTCCTCGTTGATCGCCTTCAGAACTGAAATTAAAAGGGAACATATTAATTAAAATTATACCACGATTGATGTATAAGACAAATGGTACTCAAATTTCCTGTTATTAATATATCACAGGTTATTGTTTGCTTTGATTCGGAATTTAGTTGAGATTATTGTACAAAGAATATTATGCAAATCGAGTCTTTACTCTCTTAATTTATTTAACTCTTTTTGAGTACTGTCATTATACCTCTAGACACAATTAAAGAACAATAGGTTGCGGTCACCGGTGTTCTCGCGGTGTTTGACAGTTTAATCCTACAATTAATTTATTTAATAACAATATAGAAGTAAGAAGGTATATAAGATGAAACTTACTCTTAATGAGCACTTGGAGCGACTGGTTGTCCGGGGGACCGTTGTCTAGGTGGAACGGTATCACCGTAGTCAAGTACTGAAACATAACACAAACACCTTAGAAGAAGAGAATCTATTACAAAGAGAACTTAAACTTTAATACAACAGTTATAAAGTTGAGAAATGACTGTGTATACGACGAAGTAGACGATATTAAGAGCCTTTATTTATTTTTTGGAACTGACATTTGATCACTGTTTCGCCTGGTGGTAGCGATCATGCAGCCTAGGCACTGCCCATAAGCAATCTATCCCCTTAGAACTCGAAGAAGACACCCAGTTTCCCTTTGAATAATATAACTATAAAATAAACGAAGATAAATAAATAAATAATTGATTGGTCACAGATAGTTACAATAAGTAGCAGTCACAGTAGACGGCATCGACCAACTATCCATAACAAGGGACTTTCACTGTACACTTACTATTGCAACATTTATTATTATTGTAAAATTTCTAATGGAATTGTCGTCGGTAAGTTACGAGCTAATGAAATCGGTGTGATATACCGATAATATGATACTAGAGCAGTTAATACTAATCGTAGAATGTTTTGCACTGAATTGCTTATGGGACGACGTGCTCCATCGTAGATCGTATCATTGATTACCACCAGCGAGCTACTGGTTAAACGTCGGCCCACATAAATACAAAAAAGAATCCGAGTTATCATTCTGATTTTTGTTGATGCAACCGTAAATTACGAAGAGTGTACCTAATATTTAGACCAATTTGTATAGAAACAACTGCTGATACCAGTATGAGTTGGCGATTGTAGAAAAACTTAAGATTTCAGTCTAACACAAACTATCCCCTACAATTATTGAATAAAAACAATACATTAAAACTATCATATTAGATAATGAACTAATAAGGAAAATCACAGATTCATTTTCGGTGACACAAGAATCCTATACAAATACCTAATGAACTAAAAACACAATCTAACTAATCATAATTCCCTCACCTTAGACTCAGAATGGCCACCATTCAGATTAGGCGACCGTGGTGCTTGTGGCCTCTTCTTCTTCTCAATATGGTACTGCCGCCTCTTGTTCTGAACAGCCAGCAGCAGAGATATGAAGGTGTTCTTCAGCTCCTTCTCATACTCCAGTTCATCACGTAAAGCCAGCTCAGCGATCAGAGTCTCCGAGAACTCGCGAATGAGGACTTCCAACTCCATGAATATTTCGTTCAGTTGAGCAAGCGAGTAGGTGCGCAGCTCTGAAATGTTAAATGAATTGGTTAATACTATGATCTTTAAGAATGCACTTACATTAGATTTTCTTATGATTTCACCTTCTAGCGACGACGAGTGAATTTTACGTTTAACGTGATCGACACGTTTATGATGTTCGGCACTCGAGGACTTAGTACGAGTTTCGTTTACGTTTAAATTTTAGAGTAATCGAAACGAGTAACGCGTTCGGCGCTCTCATTGGCCAGCTCCAATAAATCACCCAAACAGAACGCCGATCACGGTCTCGTTTCGATTATTTTAAACGTAAAACAAACTCATACTAAGGCGTCTGATTGGTTGGTTCACTAGAGCCGGCCAATCAGAGCGCCGAACGCATGGGTACCCGTTTCGAATGTACGAACAAATTCGTACTAAGCCTGCTGCAATAAACCAACTAATGTGAGAGCTAGACGCGGTAACGTTTTAATCGCGTCTAACGTAAAAGAAACTCCTACTAGGCGATCTGTCCTTTAGTTCTGATGATGAAGTACCTAGCTACTTAGAGCTATAGATAATAATTAAATGATGGTAAGACTTACAAACTATCTTAATGAGTATCTATCTTAGTATTAATTAAACTAAGTAATAAAATTATGTAAGGTTTATTACACCTTCGATTTTATTTTGCAATAAACACGGTTCATTTTTACATTGCATAATTAGTAGACTTTTAAAACGTGTACTGAATTCATTACTTAATTATATCAATACATTTTCACTACTGAGACACATGATTAAGTATAGGTGTAATTTCCAACAGGTTTTAGACATTGATATAACCGTCTGCTACTTGGACAGAATTCATTAAAATGTAGTAAGTAGATAGTTACTAGTAACAGCGTAAAGTTTATTTCTAACTTTCAAACTGGGTTTAGATTCAGTTCACGAGTAATCCACATCTGTTGTTCTTCTAAAAGATTTACAACACATACTAATGTTTACTATCGCACACTTTCCAACGCAAATAAATTAATCACATGTTTTTAAAACCTATTTTAACGAAATCGTGATTTATTTTATAGTATATATATTAGATGGGGTTATTGAATTTTTTATCAGATCAATTAACGGCCAAAATAAACGTTTTAGATCTACACGTGGGAGGCTGAGAAAATAAAGTGATGCGCCAAATTAATCGCAAGCGCAGGGGTGAACGCACTCGAGCGAAAGAATCGGCCATTGCGCTGCGTCGGGCATCAGCAGAGCGTACTTGATTGTACGCCCATATCGAATGACGACAATTGAGAGCTTTATTGATCAATTTATGATTTACTTTCACACTGAAATTACACATAAATTGCTTTACGGCTACAGACAGCTTGAATTAAATATTTGAATATTTAAATTAAAAATTGCAACTGTATCGGATACAGTGTTCTGTTATACTTTCTTTTACAGTGGCGACTCTCACGTTGGTAATATGTTTTCTTAAAATATTCATGCAGTTTATTTTGGATGCGGAATTAACTCTCGGTCCTCGGTTACGTCAATCAATGTTGTTATTAATAACGTAAGCAGTTGATGGATCGCAAACGCACAAACGCATAGTGCTTAGTAAACATAAGGATCGTCTTATAATGGGCTATAGGCTGTTGACAAACGCTGGCGAATGATGTTTATGGTTGGTGCCACCAACGTTATGTCATCTAGTTACATAATTCTCGTCTTTGTCGAATGATTCTCACGCTTCGAATTTAGTTCCAGAGAAGCATGAATTCAGCAATTACTATTATTGTGACAAAAAGTAACAAATTGCTGCAAAATCAATTATGTCATTGGTAGCAAGACATGGCACGCAGTTCTCCATTAAGGGTAATAAGCGCAAACCGGATCGGCTCGTATAGTCATAAGCTGGCGGCTAGATTTTAGTGAGATCGATCAGTCAACGGCTATTTATTTAAAAATCCTGTTCGATGACATGCGTAGGTTTGGTAGTCAGTCTAGTGACTATAAAATTCGAATTCAAATAGAATATTAGAACTCATACGATGTTATAGCAGAAGCGAGCATTGGAATGACGTGGAGCAAGGTGAAGCGAGAAGCTCAAGACCGATCGAGATGGATATCTTCTATGGACGCCCTGCCCCATCTAGGGGACTTAGGACTATAAATCAAGTCTAAAATGAAGACTAAGATTTAATTTGTCAAACGTATACATCTACGAATTTAATCTTTTTGTATGTCGTCCATTTACACAGAAACAAATTTAAATTATAATACATCTGTCATGGCAGCCATTGCAAACTGCAATCAACTTGAATATATTGTAGAATGGAACTATTTCTGGATATTAATTAAAGCTAAGCCGAAGTGACAGAGTTGATGAACCTACATATGTATATTTATATAAATGACATCCTCGCATTTAATGTCGGGAGCAGACATCGACGTAGGTACATGAATCATACATGGGATGTTTACGTTTAATTGACAATATTTGCTTTGACCTTCGTACATTTTTAAACATGCTTAGTACAAGTATAAGTTCACTACTCGTTCGCTAGTTTAATAGTCACCAACTGTTTGTCAAATAATAAGATTTTATATATGTCGATAATTTTGAAAGAAATCTGACGCTACCTCCTAAATTACTGGACTTATTTTCATGGAACATACTAGTTATGTGCCACTTTATGCATAATTTTTACGACAATAAAATGAAAGAGACAGTAATAAGAGTGTATTGAATTAAATAACACATCTTGGAAATCTTAACTCATGCCATATAAATGCTAAAAATGCAATTCCTATGTATATAACAACTGTCTTATTGTGTTTTATCATAAAACAAATAGTTAAAGATAACCTAGATTTTAATCACCAGCTAGTATTAAATGAATGGCTATCTCAAAAGATAGTCGGGATAACTTTATATAGATAGGTATTTACACAATACACATTCCTCTCTGCAAATAGACGGGAAATGAAAACAATTTTGCTGTTTACATTTACATAGCAGTGTTTAAAAAAACAATAGATTTGAATCAGCGCGAGGGCAACGTCTAAACTTAAAAACATTAGGTGATCTACTCGTATTTTTTTATTTCCTATCCTATCTAGAACATAAAACAGTCTATATTTTTTGTTAGGACGGAAAATCATCAAAGCATTCTCCCGTCAGGGTGGAAGTGTTGAAGTCTTATTGATTGAAAGCATCCTGCCCCAACTTCTGCCATAGGGTATGCCATGTCATATGTCTAGATAGTCTTATCCGCAACCCCCGCAAAAAATAATCTACATAACACATTCATTCATTTATTTGTAACTACTATCGTAATTACAACACAACAGTGGTTTTTGTAGACAGCATTTAAACACAAAATATTCAGAAAAATTGGTACCGACATTAATTTCAACAAAACACAAACATATCGTTATTTAAATACCCAGACCCAGGTACTTCAGTCGCCTGCAATTTTAAAGCAAATAAAGCAATGATGCAATGGAATACTCACTATCTTCATAGAGCGGCGAGCTGAGTACCTCCTTCCCTTTCTCCAAAGCCTCGTTGTACTCGATGATGTCACCTTCTGATGACGGAGTGTCTTGCATCATGTCATCTATCTCCTGGATCACCTGGATATAAAAAATAGACGTTTTGATGTTGTTCGTTTTCTTTGAGTGCCTTTTTTGGCTAAACTAGCTTTTGTATGGGATTTTGCATCCACATCACTTTTGCTATCGAAAAATACTCTCATAGAGCTTCTTTAAACTCTCTCTTACAAACAGCTACCTACGCTCAGTAACTCACTAGGTATGTCATTGACATATTTCATTATATCATTGTCTGTCGGTCTTCCAATAAATAACGTAAAAATAAGTATGGTTTCTTTAAAGCAGTGCTTACCTCATCAGCAGTCTTGACTGGGCACTCGTGGTCCTGGTGGAGTCCGCCCAAGATAAGAGCGTGCATGTCCAGGTCTGAAGCTACGGCTTCATCCTCCGAGCTGTGGATCTCGTCGTCAGGAGTCATTGAACTCTGAACGAACGAACGAATATTTTTACTTATTAGCGCAATTAGAGACAAAGATGAATTTTGCAAAAAAGGAAAATATTCCACCAAGTCTTTTTTTGTGGTATAGGTAGTCATCAATCAGTGGCTTGAATGTAATCGATCAAAGGAGCTCATAAAGTCATTGCAGACTTTATTGATTCAGAAAGTGCAGGTAATTACGTCGATGATGATCGTAAAGATGGACGTTCTATATGACTTATCAAACTATAATTAAAATCACCAGAGCTTGAGAGAAACTCACGCTGTTATTATAAAATCACAATAGCTAATAACTCTCCGTCAGTTAATATTTAATCTGTTTTTGCGAATATGCGAGTTTTAAACAAAAGTAATAAAGCAGTAACAACAGGTTCGGTGTGAAATTTCGCGCGAGTTATTTATTCACAGAATTATTTAAACCTCATCAAAAAACTGGAACATCCATTGCAGTTTGATGAGCATTGCAATATAATAATACGGCAGGGCATTGAATTCATTTTCCCACGAAACAATGGATAGCATTAAATAAGATGTTTTTCGTCGGTTGGCATTGCAGAAAATGAAACAAGAGAAGTGAAATTAAGTACTTATTTACGTTTTATTACTTTGCAAAATTGATGTAAGTAAGTAATAAAGACTTTTGGCATTGAATATTAAAATGTTAGACTTCGAATCGTAGAGTTTATTTTTAAGGACTCTGTAATGTGTCTGAGGTATTAAACTAAAGCTGGTCTTACCTTCTTGTCATTTAGGTTCAAAGTAGGGATGTGCATCTTCCTGGAGAACGATTTAGTCCAGTCAATCGGGAGGATGTTTCCGAAGTTTCCCGTGATCGTCCACCACATTCTGGAAAAAAGAAAAGAAATTAAAGTAAAACCAAAGAAACGCTATAAATCTATAAAGATTTTTTTGGTACTTAAAGTGCCTTAACAAATCGTAAAATTCTGGTAACAGAGATAATGTCTATTCGATAAGACCACGCTCAATGGAACTCCATTAAAGTTAGTACATAACGATATCAACAAAAGACAGCGTGGTTAATGAAAAAGTTTGGGTGCTCGTGTGTCTTCGGAAGATTAAAAACGTCTTTGGAACTTCGTATTCTCTAGAATTAGATACGCTTATAAACTAAAGAAGATGAAGCCATGTACTATAATTAAACCGTAAAAGCGTTTATAACTGTCGCTTCATTACTGTAAGATGAAATGGAATTCTCGTGTGAAGGTTTAGTGTCTTTGTTTTGTCAAGTTACATCAGAGTACGTAACAGAGTGAAGAATTAAAAGCGACTACATATTAAGTCGCAAAATAATTAAATATCATGTTTGCTGAAGCCACTAACCTAATAGCGTCAATAAGTTTGCACTTTGCACTCTGATACTCTGAACTGATAAGGAAGACCTGCTTGTACAGTGAATGTTTATGAAAGGTCACAAACGTGATTTCGTGAACCTGTTAATTCACAGACATCCTGAGTTCCCGACGCCGACACTGGGAAGAGCTCAATTGCCTCACTACCCAATTATTCGTCAGCAAGGTCGTTGTAACCTCGCCGAGCTGATGTTTTATCATGTACAACTTTGGTTTTATAGTTCAATTTCTTTTGGTAGAACTCAATTTGTAATCACGAATCTCTTTGATCATTTTCATGGATGGTAGGAGTTAAATGTTGATTGAAGAATTTTTGAGACTTGAAAGCTGCGCGTTTGTTTGTGAATAGTGAAATGATAATGGACTTCTCAATGCGAACGGTTATTTTGAGAGTAATTGAATCACATCGAGGTTTCTTTTGGTTAACAATCTAAAGTCTGTTAATAGTGGTTTAGGTAACCACTATGATTGGAAAATATCTCAAATGCATCTACACTTGAAGTACTGAATCATTATTTTAATGTTTGATTCGATTTAGATTACTGGCTGATATTGTGCGAGGATTATACTCATATGAACACCTAGCCTCGCCCGTGAGTCAGCCGGAGGCATAAATTGGCGCTAATTTGAGATCTCGCGGCACGCCATCGTTCAATTGAGGAATGTGTCACTTTGTATTACGTATAAGTACTGCATCTGATCAGAACTTTGTACGCACATATGATATTCTGGTAAGTAAGTACCATTGCTTCTGAAGGCCAGCCTTACAAACAAACTTTTCAACCAAAAAAAGATAGAAGAGCAACGATATGATAAAAATAGGCAAATATTTCTAGGAGTATTATATATTCATCTGGGAATTGATGCACCTGATAATAAAAATCGAAAAACAACTCAGCTTTTATGTTTTGCAACTCCGTATGAAGATACAGACTGAAATAAACAAAACAATAATGTTTAACACCCACGGAGCAATGTAATAAAAACGCATAAAAAACTAGTTGCTATTCTTGGCTTCACACCAGATGGGTTTAGCTTCACATAGAGAATCTAGCTAGATATGACCTACAAACGATTAAGAAGTTATTTTAAATACAGAATAAAAACTTCATGACACGATGATCGAAGAAGTAGATACTAATTTAAATGGTCCCAAATGGTTGGAAAAAAATGACATTTAAGCGTCATAATATTCGTCCGACTGAAGAAGTGGAAATATATGGGCTGCTATGTAATGGCGGTGATAACAAGGTTAACGACTAATGTTATAATAGTGTCAAAGTGGACTCCTATTGTTTCTTTGGGCTTATCTCAGGTTACTTTATTTGGCAATCTTTCATAGATCGACATCTGTCATGTGACATGTCTTTGTTAGATGTAGCAACTTGGACATCTGGTTTTGTAGTGAATCAATCGCTTAATAGACATTTTACATAAATATATAAGTAATTTTGATTCTGTGCTTGCTTCGTTGTCTTATTTGATACGGAGCTCATCTACATAATATGTATAATCTCATCTCGTACAAAAAGATATGAAATGGGAACATTTCTTTTTGTTTCTCACATTACTATTACCTCAGCTGGTTTGAGATTTTTGATCAGCTTCATTTGCGGAGGCGTATTCGGTTATAACAACGTCAAATAATATCAATAGCATAAGGTCTGGTGCGGTCGTTAGCATTGCGTCAGTTCGTCAAACCATATGGCCATCTGCGTTAATTGAAACGATACCCAACGATGACATTTTGCATGTTTGATCATTGTCACGTGTAGCAACCATAACACATTCTTTTGGTTAACATTGGAATGATATTTGCAGAACCGTTATTCAAATAGATTACAGCATGCTTGAATCAAGACAAAACATTCGTTATGTAAATATTTAGTCTGTGAGTGCAATCGTTGCTTCGGGATGTTTCGTCTCAAGTTTTTATTGTCTCTATAGTGAAAGGATTATTCGAAGTTATTGTTTATTTATTGGCATATTGCTTGTATGTAATCGTTTCCGAATAGCCAGTGTTTGAATTATAAATTCCAAATCGTTTATTGCGGGTATTACAATATCATTAAAGCATGTTTTGCATTCAAATAGCTCGTAAAGTCAGTTTTTAGTTTTGTTTTATAGCTAGTTACAACTCTTACAACTTACATTACATGGAACAGAAATAAAATAGGCATGGTGACATCGATGGTCTACGTAAACCAGAATCAACCACATTGCCTGTTGCGTTACTAATTGTACGGTTTGGGATGACTAAGAATCCTTTGAACATTTTTCCATACTCGGTTTAATATACGACTCTACGTAGGTAGGTACTGAAGTCCAACAACTGTGACTCACAGTTGGGTCTAGCGTAGGCGCACGCACACAATTTAGGTCTTACAATCCGTCAAAAAAGTCTGCCATGCGTGTGAGGTCGCTGGATCAAAAATGGCCGCGGTCCACTGGCCCGAACGGTTTCACCATACTTCTTATTATGGTGTGTACCGTTAAGCCAAGTTTACCTTTTATATTAGCAAATATGATTTGAATACGACTTCGCTATTGTATGTAGGAATTACTTGGTTTGTTAACTGTACTTTCATCTGCACTGGTTAAGTGCTGCGATGAAAGGGAAGAGATTAGGTATGTTGGAAACTACTAATGGATTAAGATATAAGAAGTGAATTCAACTTATTTCAGTCAGGAAAAATACCTTTAAAAGTAACTGTAGTAAAATATTAATTGAAGCAAAATGGTTTCTAATAAATAATTACGATAACCCACATTTCAGGTTCTAAAATGCTAGAATGCCAAACTGTTATAGCCAAAGAAATCATAAACGGATCATAAAGTTACCGACATCAAGTGTCGGATTACAGGCTTCAGCCATTAGACTTATACCCATTAAATTCTTCATAGCTATTATATAGGTAGGTACATTCACACGTCACTACCCACTCAAGGACGTTTCAATTTTATTTAATTGGTTACATAAGACGTGAAGGTACGTAAAAATTTGTTCAACGACCTGAAGAGAAATACATTTATTGATTTGCATCTTGAAACACTTCAAAAGCAGAGTCATATGAGACGTCGAATATAATAACTTAGATTTGTTCATCATTCAGCTCATTGCAATGATAATAACATATCATTGAGAATCGAGGTTCTCAATTTGCATCGTTTTATTTGAGCACTACTAAACAAATCATGACTGACGAGCGACTACTCACGATGACGTTGACTTTGCGGTCGGTGGAGATTCATTGCGGAGGGGAAATATGGATTCAAGTAGGTAAAATAATACGTACGTATTTCCAAAAGGCGATACGATACATAGACACGATATTTACCCTAGAATGTACCTTAATAATAAATGGACCTAATACGGCGTACATAAACAGTACTCATAGTTATACTTACTTCACAAATAGGGCAAGTTTGTCTTTTTAGAACCAGTATTTAATTACTAAAAAGCTTATCAAGCTAGTAATCGTTGCGTAGGTTGAATCAAACATGACCTCACAGCCATAGAAGGCTAGTCTAGGTAAGACGTTAAAAAATGGCGCCTGCAGTTATTTACGATGTGAAAAAGACAACAATAGACGAATTTGAAACTGCGCTTTACAAAATAAAATTTAACTAACGTCTGCTAATTTGCAAGTTAACAGTAAAATATACAACTGTATTTAGTTGATTGAGGTAATTGAATTGCTATAATGACCGTGTGAATTGTTTTACTATGTTTCGGATTATGGGCATGTAACGGCTTTCCATGTTCCAATGTGTGAAAGGTTCATTTTTGAGTGAGGTCGGTACTCGGTAGATAATAATTACCTGCACACGATTTAAGAATATAGTATAAATGCTCTAAAATATCTGGCATTTGTGAAAACTAACGTAAAGACAAAGTTTAAAATAGACAAGTACAGCTGTAAAGAACAGTCTTATCGTTAACAGCGATATCAACAAGACCTTTAAATATAAGGCACTGTCGAGAATGTCGATAAAGGCGGGTAAGTCCGTGGTGACCTGCATCTACAGTTATTGCATTATTTACAACATCTTTCCTTTATACACATACTCTTATCACAATACATATTGCGTTGAAAGATTATTTATTAATCCATTGTTTCCTTCTGTGACGAATACAATTTAACGGGAAAGATATTATAGGTATTTGAGGAAAAATATTTGATTTAATCATACACTTGGAAAAAAACTTAGATACAGATACGTACACACTAGAGAATGAAACATCATGGATAACAAAGTGTATTCTACCTTCATCATTTATTAATTAAGATTTCACTAATTAATATTCTAAAGGCAATCCTTTAGTCAATGTTGGCACAGTAATTATTCAGCCCTTCAAAACCAAGCAACCGATTAATCGATGTGTCAATATAATATCGATTTCTCAGAATCTGCTTTCTTATTTTACCAGCCAATCGAGCGTGAACCAATGATTATGGTGTGCTGCGTACGAAC